TTTCTGCTACCTCTTCCGCGCGGAACGAACACGCCGGATCGTGGACATTTTATTAGCCTGTTGGCCGAAGAATTTATTGTGCCGGCCGCTGTAACGAACGATGTAATCTTTGGATAAACAGGAGGCGAGCGAGGTGTTGAAAGAAAATGTACACTGATCACTAACTGCACGGTCTTGATGGATTAATGGCTAAGACTGCGGAGCCCTAAATGCGGCTAATGTTGTTTTTTCGGAATCGTGAAACAGACTACTCATGAAATTATAGCATGGAATAATTTTGGATAAAAATTGGCCCACTTCGACCGATGATAAGTCCGCGAAAAATCATCGTAGGATTATGACTCTTTTTTTAAATTCTAGCTTGGAACCTCTGCTCTAAGATAAGGTTCCTAGATTTTAGATTTGATGCACCCTCATAATCGTAATCCTTCAAATGTGAGGCCATGTTTGTCATATTGAAAATTACCAAGTTTGACAAAATGCGCGGACATTGTCAAAATTTTTTTCCGGAGATGTCGTTTATAGTCGAATGAAGTTCGATCTTTTCTCTTTACTTTAAAATATAAGAAACGCGACTGCTATTTTTTTTCTGTTCAGACATTTCACTTTACACGAATCAACAGGATAATTCGAGACAACGAAACTGTAAAAATAAAATAAAACCTTGATTACCCTGATTTTGGAATCGTAATTGTATCTCGCGTCCTCGATAATCTCTCAAATTTTTAAATCGGGGATTCCGATATTTTTCCGAGCAATTTAGAAAGTATTTGGCGCCGTCGAAATCGAGGTTTATTTATTATTTGAATAAACTGTTTACCCGAGAGGAGTTTCGTCGGCTCATTAGCTAGTCACACGTTACACACTGTTACGAAAAATGTTTGTAAAGAGGCAAAATAAACAAGCATGAGCGTGTCCATGCAACTCTGGTTGTATTTTTGTCTACACCGGCGGCGGTAGACCGGTACAGCTGTTGATACACGTGTAAGCTCCAATTCCGAACGTGTTTGTGTATCCGTCTATAGATCCGGATGTAACCAACACCTAACCCAAAGCTACCTAAGACTTAACCAGTATCTAACCACTACCTAACCCAAGCCCAACAAAGATCTAACCAAAACCAGAGCAAGACTAACCAATAGTTTAATCCCTCATGGGAACGTTGGTTTCCGATCGACACTCGGATGCTCAATGTTTTCTGTTGAAACGAGAATGGAATCAACTTCTTTCGTTTCACCGCTTCGAAAATACATTGATAAAAAATTCGCGGATTCCGAAAATACATTGATAAAAAATTAAGATCACAGATGTCCAAATACTTATGCATTGTCGTCTATATGTCTCCCACCACTGACTATGATTTTGACGAGTGACTTTTTGATGCATTGGCAATTAGGCCATTTACGTTATTTCTATTCTTCATGAATTTCGTGTCAAATTTAAGCCTTCAACAGCCTGAAAATATATTTTAATTGCATAACTAGAGTATCAAGCAACATGAAATGCAAGAAAAAGTGAATTTTTACGTAGATTTCAGCTGAGAATATATAGATGAGCGAAAAATTATCTCTAATGTGTCGATAACTGGGACCCTTACCCAATAACAGGCCAATAATTTCTGAAATATTTCGAAGGGGGAAATAATATATGCCTGGTATTATAGCTGGTTCGAGAAGTCACCCCATTCTCTAATCTGCAGAATCAGACATTCCCGGCGCCCTATCTCGAAGTGTCAAGGGTGCGAATCTTGAATTAGGGCGACTATATCCCACAGCGTTCTACATTCCCCTAAAATCCCCGAATGGGGGAACCCGACGTAACCCCCCGGGGCCCGTGGAATCTGATCCAGAATGATCGAAAGACTCCGAGCCAGAGTACGCGAGCATAGACATAATACTCATCTGTCGTGTCACCAATAGCATCGATTAATGTCAGCAATATCAACAAAATATTGACGCGATCGTGGATAACGTTACCATCAGTGGCTCACGAAGAGCCTAACGCCTAAGAACGAAAAGGGGCCTCGTGTAAGCGACACCCACAAATTTGTCACCGTTTCGATGGACAGACTGATATGGGTCCCATAGCGGAGGGGCGACCTTGAGCCGTTGAGCTAAGCCCGGGTCTTCCGTAAGGTTCGCTGCGGTATCGCCGCGAGCCGAGGTACGTCATACTTCTCCATGGATCGGTTATATAGCGTTGTTGTCTTTACGCAGACAGTAAGTTATCGCGGCAGCTTATGCCAACGGTGTATCGGTCGCGGCGGTACGGTCCCGAGAAAAATTCGCGTTGTTACGCGCCGCGACGCCCCGAGGTGGCTGGAACGACGCGAGGCGTCCTGACGGATATCTCGGCTGGCATTAAAGTATCCCGGGTGAAATACGAACGGCGTGTCTCCCTTCTGTTCCGTCGCAAACGACACGATATAACGACGGGGAATAAATCGCCGTTCGGTAATCGAAGTATTTCTCAATATTAATAGGAACAAAATCCGAAAGCCGCCGATAAATTATTCCGCGGCTCGACGGCGTACCGGCTCGGTTAATCGTTTTGCAAACCCGCCCCATTGTTAACCGAGCAGCCATTTATCAGCTGTTCAACTTCTTTACTTCTCCACGGAATTGCGATCGTGCGACGTGGCAGATATCTGTTCGTTGCGAACGCATCGTTTGCCACTTTTAAATGTCGATTCTGCAAGTTCTCACGATGTTAATGTCATTTCAACATCGGAAGGCCGGCTTTTTGCCAGGACGCGGGAGACCAAGTCCGGGTAATTTTGGACCCACGCTAATATATCGTTCAAAGACGATTGTTCTCTTAAAATTATGTGTCATTATATACCTGAAAACGGTATTTTTTTAAAGCAGCACTTCACTGTTCGGCTGTATGCCGAATATCGATAGGAACTGGATTCAGTGAGCGTAACATCGTTTACATACTACAGTGATTAAATGTGACCCCGGGTTAGCAGGTCGAGGGTTAATTAACGAAATCGAAACTAGGACTTCGCTAGAAGTAACTCTTTTGTATTCTAAAAATCCTAGTGACATTTAGTTCGCTCAATATATTACAACAAAAATGTATTTCGAAAAACTCAGTTAAACAGTAAAACTATATTAAAAATACTGAAAACTCTATTCTCATTTATTCGTGTAATTCCAGAACTGTAAATTAATTTTTAAACTTGTTTCCGCATGATCCTGAAGAGAAAATTAACGTCATTCATTTCCCTCGCGGTAGAAGCTGTTACACGCGCGTTGAAAACGAAACATAGTTTTGAATTTAATAAAGTTTATGCAATCATAAACTGGTCTTTGTTAACCCGTTCGCTTCAAGCGTCACTGGCGCGCACGGTTACGTTTATCGCGTTTATTGTACTAAATACATCTTACGAAATGTGATAAAGATGCCGTCAATGGGTAGCTACAAATTCTCTAAATGTCATGCTACGTGTGAGAATTTTAAATAATTATATTCGCGCAAAATCCATTTGACGTTCTTCACGTGAAATACGAAACCGTGGTCGTCACACGTGGCTGACGCTGGTAGCGTACGCGTTAATTTAGTATGCCTGTGACGTACGCGGCATGAGCGTTACGAGATTATAATGCGAACGGAGACGCAACATTTTTTCGATTGGAATACGCGAAGTATCAATGATCAAGCCATAGCGGATTTTCAAAGTGCAATGAAAGATTCGATCTCGAAATGAGGTTACGGCTGATTGATCGTGGGGGCCGCGAATTAATTCGCTCACCTAATAGGATCGATGGGCCACAGACAACGGTTACGGCTGTCTGATACACGGTATACCGGGATCCATATCATTACCGCGATAGGATATTTCGTGGATATCTAAATTTGTAGGGGATACATCGATTAAACTCTTGACCGGAAAGCTTAACGCTGTCGGGGATTGGCGAGCCAGGGAGCTTGTAAATTACGCGGTCTCGCGGCGATGGTTAAAACGTTGCCGAAATAACGACGCCCCCGTCATTAACCGGAATATTGTCAAATGTGGTACATCCATAGTGTCGGGCGAGGTATTAAAGTAATCGATACGATCCCCAGGGGATGATCCCTCGTGAAAAAATAAAGCGCGGCCATTTCGCTGCTCCTCCAAAGGACGACGACAGAAATCCGCCTAATTTGGACCCGGCTGGCATTGAAGACCGTAATTAATTACCCCGAAGATAATACCGAAGTTATTAACCTCGAATTAAACAAGTAAAAGTGAATTACGTCTACTTAAGATCGACGATTAACCCTTGCAGTCGAAAAGGGTTTTTAGGTCATTTTAACTCGAAATCCGAAGTAGTTTTTCTGACTTATAGTATTTTCATTTTACGTGACTCGTGCAACAGTTATTTTAACAGTTCTTCAAAGAACTGTTATATTCAACTTTATATTCAAATATAAACAAATTCGAGGATGTTGAAAACTGTTTTGAAACTTGACATAGCAATTTTTAGCGACGCCTTAGAGTCACCGCACGACTGCAAAGTGTTCATAATTTGCGTACGCGTGTTGTAATCTGCGAAGGGCACTTGGAGACGTAAAATTCGTTTAAGCATTGCCTCGTAATTAAAGAATAAATAATGTAACGTTACGCCAATATTTGCCGGGCCTCGGTCGCTGCACAGCAGTTAAATAATTATTTCCCTTTCGTTTGATTTAGCTGTTGGCTCTCGCGTACACGCTGCTGCTAAAAAATATTTGATAACATGTTTGCCCAGCGCTCGCCTTTTTTCAGTGAAAAAATGCGTATGGATGTTTGAGCTTCCGTATTGATAGAATTAATAAACATGATCGAAACGAAATGGTCGAACAACGGTCCCGAAACAATCGCGAACTGTGTACGTGATTGCATTACTATTGAATGCGATTCGGGCGTGCTGCACATCGTCCACTTTTTTTTTGCGAGTTCGCGCAGTTCAGAAGATAAATTGTTTATGGCTCGATTTCGAAATATAACCCATTTCTTTTCTGTTCTCTTTTAGCTCAATGCTTCCATGGACTAATGCTCCGAAGGATCGAAGGTTCCCATGGTGAAATGCTCTCAAGGGTCGAATGAGCCCATAGACGCAAAATTTAACCAGATAGCTGTTCCAATCTCCTTGAAAAGTGCGTAAGTTACTACGATTATACTGTATATGCTTGATTTTCTTCAGACTTTCTTATTGTTCATACTCTTATAAAATATGTAATTTAATAAGGAACATCAAAGTATATTATTCTTTTTAGCCAGTTAGCTGTTTCTGACGAGTATAATCGTCACTAAGAAATGGCAACATTTTGTGTTATGGCGAGTACACTCGTCGAAAACAGCTAACTGGTTAAAAAGAATCCTCTACAAAATGGAATATTTTTCAAAACAACTTCTACATGCAAATCATGCCGGAGTCACACATCCGACATCCGACTTCGACTAATCAAGAAAATTATCATTGTCCAGCGCGTTTCTGCCACCGAAACTGGCCGTTTTATTAATAGGAACTGCCTGTCGACAAATGATTTCATACCGCGACGCTGGAAGGGACAGTGCACGTACAGACCGCTTCTAATAATTATTCGCGATCCGACATGGCATCTCGTATGCAAAACGATCGGTTTCGCGCATAGGATGTCCATGGATACACGCGGATTTACGCTGGCTCGCCAACTTGCGTGTGACTGCGTTCGATAGCCATCACGATGCGTCTGCTGTTGCTCCCACAGAGATCCTCCATTGCTCCCATAGCGCTCTCTCGGCCTCCTTTGTTCTCAGAATAGTCCTCAAACTAGGATATTATTGTCTTCATTCAGGTCGTTCTATTGGAAAGAAGCTTCAATTTATTTATTGTCACAGTATTTTTCTTGATCTGAGCAATGCAACTGGATTGAATTTTAACACAATTTTGTTTAATATTTGTCGCTATATACCAATCGATAAATATCGTCGAACATCCTCAAGTATGTTCAGTTATCTAAGATTTTTGAGAAATTCCACAAATTTAATTGGTTTTGCCTAATTTCTGTCACAGACGAATCGACGAACACCTGCAAACATCATTTAATATCTCCAATCGCCTTGGATTTTTGAAGAATCGAACTCATTGGCTTAAATGTAACACAGCGTTGTTTAATTTCGGCCGCTGTGAACCAATTGACTAACAAATATTTTCAATACAACACTCGTGTTCCGATCTAACACAGTTTTGTTTCATTTCTGCCGCGCGAAACCAATTGCCCGACACCGTCAAACATTCTCCGACACCTTCAATTGTCCCAGACTTCTCAGCAATGCAACACGCTGGCTCTGACCCAACACAGTCTGGTTTAACTTCCACCACCTCTAAGCCAATCCGCAAACATTTTCAAACAGCTTCAAACTCGGGCATCCCAGGACGCTCGCTCGAGTCTATCATCGCGGCTCCGTTTAACTTCTGCCATTCCAATCGAATCATCAAACATCTTCAAACATTTCCAGCGGTCCCGGGTATATCAATAAACGCAACACGCGCGTTTTCATCTAAAACGTAGCGCCGCGAACGGGAGGATCCCGATCGGCTGTGATTGAATAACGGCATAAGGGGCGGCTGGAGCGATCGGTTTGCCCGAAAAATCAGGTTCGAGGACGGCCGGGAGCGCCGAGTCTGCGAAAGACAAATAGAAAGCGTTCGTTCCTCTTCATCATCGAGAAACTGATTCGGCGGGTATCGACCGGCAGCCGAGACCTTCTCCCCGACTCGCGGCGGATCCTTGCATAATCCGATTCGAGAAGCGTTCCCATTTGTTTATTCCCTCCCGCGGCGATCGAACGAGATGGATGGACTTACGAGTGTTTGGCTTCGAGATTGAGGTCGCTCGAGGCAGCCGTTCGAAAAAAGCTCCGCGAGCGAAAGACACGGATACGGAAAGGGAAAGGGATCGCTGGCAACGGCCGAAGGAGAACGGGGGCGGTTGGGTCGCGTCTTTTTGTCCACCTTGAGCAGGGTTGTTCGGCCACCTTCCAATAACGCAATCGGCGCGGATCGATTTTCAATCCAATCATCAGAGAATGCTACGTGTAAACCGTGGTGGAAAGTGCAATATACTTTCATGAGTATCCACCTATGATCAAGCAGCCGGGAGGGATAAGGATAGTACGTTGGTTATGCGGCAGGGTGGAACGCTTGAAAATCGAATACTCGAACAAACCCTTGTACCGGCTGCGGGAACCCGGCATAAACTCATAATACCACATCTTCCCCTCCCTCCAGCCGCCCCGTTGTCCCCTTTGTTTGTTCCGTTTCGCCCACGCCGCTCTCCTCCAGCTTTCTTTACCTCCTCCCCCCTCCCTCCCCAGTCTTATAAGCTCGATCTAAATATCCGAGCGTTCTTCATGAGCCGCTTCGTTTCTTATTTAACTTGCCCAGCCGATTCTTTGAACAATTCCGTTGCATATGTTGCCTGAATTATTTTGTATCGCTTGCCCGGTCTCCGACGGCGACTCCACGGGTTTTCATATTTGATGCGCCGCGGGCTGGCGTTGCACTCCTCCAATTTAGCGGAACTTACGGTTTATCTCCGTATAGAAATTGTTCGACGGCTGGCAGTTTTTGTCTAAAGTGCGATGTCTTCTATGTTTCAGGAAAAACTCTGTGTCGTTCGTATTGCTGGAACGGAAGCAGCCTTCAAGTTAGGTGGACAAACTGCAGGAAATTGTATTTAGAGGGTGACTCGATTTAATTTCGAGACCATTTGGACACTGAGCATGAATATTTTTTCATGACAATGTAGTTTAATTAATTAGGCAATTATTACTATCAATTATTGTTATTGATGTTATTATTATTAGACAATTATTACTACTAGACAGTTATTATTATTAATATCTAGACAATTTAATTTCGTGGTGTCCTATTTGACAATCGGACGACGGGCATAAATATTGTTTTATGACACTGTAGTTTAATTAATTAGATAATTATTACTATCAATTATCATTATTGATATTATTATTATTATTAGACAATTATTATTATTAATATCTAGACAATTAATTAGAATTTTCATATGTTTCATTGAGGTCGATCGAGAAACTAACGTGCCTAGTATTTCACGTAAAGAACAGCAAATGAATTTTGCGAATATATTTATTTAAAATTCTGATACGTAGCATGTTTAGAGAAATTATAGCTTCCCTTTGACGGGATTTTTATCACGTTTTATATTAGGATACGATACAGTAACTATAACTATATCCGCTGGTTAGCGAACGTGTTAAGAAATATATGATGGAAAGATTGATAAATAAAATTATAAATGATCCTAAACGCACATAGCAATATTTCTGTGGAAAAGATCGGTCGTTAGAGCGTTAAGAAGACGCGACAGAAATCGTTCTTTTTTTCCAGCGACTTGCACAGGAATCCTCGGAGCCGGAGGATCGAGATTTCCTCCGCAGAACGAAATGAATAAACAAGAAAGCTTTTCGTTTCCGCGACGAATAAACTCGTTTCCATTTTGAAAAGCGATGGCGGATGCGAGGAAGCCCCGCGGATCGGTTTCCGTTATCGCTAAGATCCAGGAATCGATACGGTTTGACGGGCGCCGGTAATAGAACGACGCGGGGTCATATTCCTCGCGCGAGAACGCTCGTCGCGGAAAGCGTGGCGAATACCGTCGCGAGAAACGTGTTGCACCGTGGATGCGGGAATTGCGAAAGTTGGTGCGTGCAGCTCGGCGATCTCGACGCGCCTCGTCACGTCTCGTCTCGTCGCGTTGCGAAATCGCGGGGAAAAGTTGCCTGCGCTCTGGTAACGCGATAGCGAAACGATCCTCCCGCCGTCGAGCGGAGATTTCCTTCTTTCCAGGATCGGGGAATCGACGGGGAACCGCCCGGGGCTCCGACGGGTCGAGGCAGATTTATTTCATGAAATCTTTTTCGAGGCGCGGCGCGGCGCGGGTTCAAAGAGATCTCGTTCGGTTCAAAAGGTGGAAATCGCTCGCACCAGTCATTCGGTCTCACCGCCGGATCCGAAATTACGCCTGGCCTGTACGCACGGAACGGCTGAGTCTGTCTGCGTGCGAGACTGCATTACGTTTCGCTCTCTTCCTTTTTCGTTGTTGCTTTTGTTGCTGCCGCTCCGCCGAAGTGTTCGACAATTAAGGCTCATCCCGGGAACTCCGGCTGAATCATCGATCACGAGGAAACGCTCTTCTATGGTACACGGTTCGCGAGCATAGTTAGGCCTCTTGTTTATCGAAGTGCCTCGGAAATGCTCGTTTACTCTAACACGGCTCGATGGGTTTCTGTTTTCGATAGGTCGCTCCAGGATCTTCGATAGCGAAGATTTTTATTTTGCCGCAGATATCCGCAGTTGATCCATTTAGACCTTACGCTAATTCAGACAGAATTCTATGGAATTTTCGGACAATGAGCCACTGATTTGACTGTGTTTGGGCTCACATTTCGACGAAGTCCGGTACAATCGACTAGTTTTGTAGTATTGTCTGCGTTTTCTGGCTGATGTGCAGCCAAATTGGTGCCTGGACGAGTGCGTCGGTAAATTAATTTTTATTGAACCGGATATCGTAACGTTGGTTCAGCTGGGTTACACTAGTCGATGTCCTTGTTTTTTGAATAAATTCCGCCATGAAATAAACGGCCAAAAAATGCCAGAGAGAGATCTTACGACGATAATTTTGGGTATATATTGTAAAAGGAATATATAATTTTTTATGGTCGCGTTAGTTTTATTTGCAATTCTTGGATCTCCGCCGAGGTTTCCAAAGCCAACAAATGGTCAGAAGCGCATATTGTTGCAAAATAATCAAAACGTTGTAAAAGTGCAGATTTCGCTCTTTAAAATGCGCGAAGGTACATCCACCTGCGTTTTTCTGCATCAAAGTTACAACACTTTCAATTTGGCTGATTTTCGTTTTACATTTTGGGACCTGAGAAGTAGCTTTCTCCACTACCCTCGGGACATTTTTTATTCAAACGGTTATAAAACGACACTAAAAAATCGCACAACGATGTTTTTGAGCTAGTTTCAAAGGGGATACTTCGCGCTTTAAGGCGCTCTTTGTTTTATTTGTGAAAAAAAGATTTCGCGCCTTCCACAAGTCTTCAAATTGGAATTTTCTATAAAAATTGAACGATATACCGAAAAAAGAGCGGTTGTTAATGGCACAATGATGCTTATAGAATATAACTGAAACGTCGTTAAAATGCAAACTTCGCCCTTTGAAACGAGCACAGAAGTATCGTGATACGACTATTTTCAACAAAGTTACGGTCCTTTGAAATTCATTAAAATCTGCTTAATTTTTGTTGTCCATTTTGGACTTCCAGCATCCTTTTGATTAAAATAGCTGCGGAATGAATTAAGCTGCTCGAAGTTCCCGCTTTTGAATTGCTAAATTGCACCACGATGTTTCCGCAACTTCGTCAATATAACGGGTCACGAATTTTATCATTTACGATTATTCAGTTTGTTGAGATACATTCGTCAGTTATTTATTTAATAGATCTGTTACCCAGCATTAATATCTTAGTTCACTTATCAATGCAGTGATCTTCGTGCAAAATAAAAATTATCTGGCGTCATTGCAACAAACTATTTAAAATAAAGTACTAGTTCATTTTCAATCTCAACATGCCTAATAAACAGCATTCTTAATGTCTTGTAATCATTTCACAATTTTATGTTCCGCCCACACATTTTCCTCATAAATGCATAAAATCCGCAGTCTACCGATCGACATTTCTGTCCGATACCTGTCAGCACAGATTACACGTTTCGCTTCGACGCGTTTCTGCACGACCTGATGACTTCGCTCGATGATCATCGCATTCTCGCGATTCCATTCCCAAGATCATTCGATAAAAACGAGAGGAGTCAAGCTCGGGCATTAGGTATGCGACGAGAAGCCCGGCCTCGTCGTCGTTATCCGGGCGTGGGTGGATGAGCTAGGCCGTCTTTAGAGTGGGTACACACGCCACCCGTCGAAATTCCCCGGGATAATGAAAGAGAGGGTCGCGGAGACAGCCGGAGCGAGAATAAAGTATGGATTGCTTTTAACGGGTTCACGAAGAATGGAGGCGATAGCTAGAATAGAGCCAGGCCGAGATAGTGGCCCACGGAGCGTGGTAAGAGGGAGTTCCTCGAATGGGTTAGAACGGTAACACAACGAAGAAGAGCCACGTACGGCCGCAAACATCGAAAGATACCGTGGGGCCACGGATTGTTGCGCACACAGACGTAGCCGCCGGCACAAAGAGGGGTCGCGCGCGTGGGTGCCTCGGATGGTTCACGAACTGCTGGCTGCAGTCTCGATAAAACATTCAGTTCGAAAAATGCTGTTCCATAAAAATTCCATTCACTATTATGCCACGCAATCTTCGGTTGGATATCGGTTATTGCTACCAGCAGCCATATCGCGCTGCCAGATTTACGTATGGGTGCTTATAATGCCGGCGTCTCGCGCTGATTTGCTACTTGAACTTTTCGAACCGTTTCACGCGCTCGAGCCGCGCCATTTCACCGTGTATCCGAGCCCGCAAAAGCTCCGCCCGCGCAGACCCCTGTTACCACCGACCGTCGCGATACACGCGCGCGCGCACGCACGCACGCACACACACGCCTGGATTTTTAATAACGCCCGTGTACCGCGGGGCCACGTTTATTAATAATTTAATATCGCCGCATCGACCGGATCGGTCTTTAAACTCGAATGCCACGGAATTACAGAAAAATCTCGGCGACCTCCGATACCGTAATGAGCGGCTGCATCAAAGGCTCTCCAAATTGCGGGTCGCGATTAAATGCACAGCCGAATAGTCTCTGAGCTCTCGCGTTTACGGGTTAATTGCAGTTATTGGTTCCGCGGCCGTGCCACCGACGTACGCCGGTTTCATTCTTATTCCGTGCCTGTCGTTTCTGCCGGATTAACGTCGTTTCACAGCCGGCCCCATCGTTTTCATTCGCGCCCTTTCCGTCGAGTGATTTCCCGGAATTTCAATTATTTCGCTCCTCCGAGTTGGCTAGGTTCCGACGTCAATCATTTTAGAGGACCGCTTCGATTCTTCCCTCGTGTTAGTTCGTAACTCGAGACACGTAATTATATCTGTTTCATGGGATAAATAGACCGCGGATCTGCATTGTCTTTCATTCATATTTTACAAGCGATCGACGAATTTGTTCGAAGCAACGAAATCATCGATTCGGAAAGACAAAATCGCACGCGTGCCACCAGTTTTCCTGAAAGCCGATCGTTGTTACCTTCTAAGGAGACGGATATTGCTTGTCGGACATTCCGTCCGGCAGTATTCGATTGCACGTTGCACGAACTTCCGATTGTATGCAACTATCGTCATGGAAGCAACCGTAGACCGTTCGCGACGACGTCTTTCCATCTCGAACCTACATACCACGGCATTGATTAAAATGTATACCGGGGTGTACTCCGTTCATGAATAAACGGTAAATAAAATTAGATTCTGTTCGAATTTCAACGGATACCGCGGAAGCATCGCAATCTTTGGTCCGCGGAAAAGAAGCTCGCGGTGCTCCCATATCGGATCGCAAAATCCCGAAGTTGAAAAGGACAACGGGATTCCATTCCCAGGATTATGAACGAGATTTTCTGCATACATAAGTTCCCCTCCCCTCCCCCCACCGAATCCCCAGTAGAAATCAACAATGCGCTTCCCTTCTGGCGCATCCCCGTCCAATCTTGAAGCGTATCGAGGAATCTCGATAATGGTTCCCGAATGGAAAGGAAACATTTCGGTCGGCTGACGCGGCTCACAGCCGCGGCCCTGGCTGCGCCGCCAGCCCTTCAATGTTTCTCCGGCGTTGTGTGAAGGTATCGGCCGCGTGCTCGCGATAGGCAGATGCCTTAGGAGATCGCGGCCGCGTGATCCGTCCAGGAGGAACGACGCCGTAAAAACC